CCTCCCCCAGCCTGTAGCGTTGCATGGGGTTGTTGTGACCAGAGTGCGGGACCCTGCACTTAGCCTTGTCGAATCTCATACAGTTGGCCCCAGCCCAACGATCCAGCCTGTCCAGGTCCCTCTGCAGGGCCTTCCTGAAGCAAACACACCTAACTTCAAGCAGATGAGTCGCTCACATGCCTAAAAATAGGATTTAAAGTACTTACAGGCTTTGCTGAAGCACAGCTTTAATAGATAACTTTACGTGGCAACCTGCTGAGCCAGTGTTTCTTCACACCACTGCTAAGCAAACGCTAACTGAATGACACTGATAAAGTCACAACCTAAAGCTTCAATATTCAGTTTCGCAGAACACATCACTAAACAGTAACATTTTTCGAGACAATAGATTAAGCAGTCTCTGGATAAAAAATAAACATAAAATATGAAATGTTCATTGCTAATTATTTGCTTGTTATATTCAGGTCAAATATCGTGATTTTTAACGGTTTAAAGAGACATTTGGTCTCTTTAAAGATAAAATCTATTGCGCTATAGGACCAAGTTCAGAAAAGCATCCTGCCACTGGTACGTGTGTGAAGGTAGTTAGATTTCATGTTTCCTGGGTCCCGATGCATAAGGAAAAACTTTTCAGCAAAGCTCCATGAGCTGTTGTATAAATTCTACTACAGGGCTATACATTCTCTAGTAACATTTTGCATTTGCAAGCCTGAGAAAAATAACTGTGATGGTAGAGAGCCATAATAACAATAAGAGATTAATTTCACTGCTATCAGGCAAAAAACCCTAGTCTTAACATTGCATTTCAATTTTTACCATCATCTCCAGTTTCAATGACATTTCCCTTCAAGGGCAGAAAATTGTATGAACAGAACACAAAAAAACTCACTTCTCTGATAAAATATTAAAACTAAATCTTCTCTACTTGTTTTTATTTCCTTCCCCCTTTTTGAAGATGATAATGTTCTAGAGCTTGGATTTAAAAAAAAAAAAAATCAGAATACTTAATGTCTATTAGAAAACCCAAACCACAACACAGTCAAAAATAAATCATTCGGTCATTCCCACACTGGAACATGCCATAGTACTAACAGCAGTGGAACAAAGGAGAAAGGATGACAGAGAAAATAAGGTACACTGACACGTCAGAAAACGACAGCCAGTGTGTAGAAAAATAAGTCAGACCCTTGTAAGGTAATTATGACCTGCTTCTGCCACTGTAACCCAAACTTTGCAAAATGCCTAGGCAGCCTACAGAGTGTACTGAGGAAGGGAAGATACAGAAGTAGCCAAAGCAATATTTATCACAAGAGAACATGAAATACAGGGAAGAGGAGGAGACACTCTTAAATCCTGTCCCTCGACAGGATTTAAAGTATTACCTTAACTACCTATAATTCACAGTCTTGGAGATGCCTGTTTACCCTTCCTTTTGAAAAAGCTGAAGGAGAAGGAGGCCTGTCTTTTTTTTTTTTTTTTTTAAACACACATCCATAAGATACAGTTGTGCTCTCATCTCTAAGCCTTCTCTCCCATATGCATGCTGGTTAGAACAGTCAGAATACGGCTATGGGAGTACCTATGTACATTGGTGCATGAATAGCCATGATAATAGTGTCCTACCATGAAGAAGGCGGCAGCACCAGACAGCAGAGCTGGGAAACAGTCTGACTACTTTCTTACGGAACTCACTTGCCAAACAACATTCTGAATTGTTTATCCAGACTTAATAAATATCAAAATGCTAAGTAAATTAAATTCCTAGATGACACCTTCTGATCACTACCGTACTTACACAGTGGGAAGAGCTGAGGTAAAGTGTTTCATTACTCTGTCTTCTAGTAAGCTTGTTCACATTAGTGTGTTAGACATCCTTCTCAAAACAGTGAAGCACTGGTCTCCCTGCCGTATGGGCAGAGGAATGCCTAGTTTCTGAATCTTAGTTCACTGCTGAAGTTAGCTGCTAAGGGGCCAAGTCCTTCCAAGACAGTGGCCATTCTAAGGATGTACAGACAAAGTTAACAGTCACATGGGGAGCTTTACAAGTGAAACAAAAAATCTGTATGGTGCTCTGGTCTTCAGTGTTCAACAGCAGATATTTTCAGGATGGCAGCTATGGATTTGGGCACCCAGGTTCTACATAAATCCTGTTTAAGCAGTAACCTCCTCTTCTAGATCTGGATCTGAAACTCTTAGGTTCAGCCCTCAAAGTAGTCAGTAAAGAAACACCTGTAACAGGCAGGTTTCACATTAACTCTTAAAGCAGGATAATGAGGAACATCTGAAAAAAATAGTTAGCTTTCAGATACAGACATTTCCTTCGTTCAAGTATTATACCCCTTAGAAAAAAATTTATTAACTTACACCAGCAGGAACAACAGCTACACTTCAATACTTAAACTGATGGTGGCATAACAAGCAAAAGTCAAGTATATAGTTTGTGAAAATAACCTTAACACAAATAGCTGTAATTGCAATTTTTAAATAAATTAAGTACTTTTTTTTTATTCAGAAGCAAAATCTGAAATACTCCTATCCCAAAGATTGCTTTCTCGGGGGGTGAACAATTTTCAGAAGCTTAAACCCCCTGAATGTTGTAATCTCAGTATTCACAAATCTCCAAATCATTGAGTGCCTGATCATTAATTCTTTATAGTACAAGCTGGTAAGCCATTTAAACACATCCCATTTCTAATTATCCGATGTCAGAGACGTAAGAGATATAACTCAGTTACTGAGTTATCACTTTTCACCTAAATATATGTAGTATGCTTATATTCTTTAAATGATAAACACTATTTAAAAAATTGCTTTCAGATTGATCTCTTCAGAAGCAATTGAGATCAAAACTAGAAGTACTAATTACACATTCTGTGTTGAAGTTCAGCTCCCATTCTCCACCAGAAAGAATGATACAATTAGGCATTCCTGACAAGCTCTTCCCTAAACTTGGAAATGAAAATGTAAGAGCATCCAGATTTTTTTTAGTCTTACTACACATGGATCATTGTGATTCAGCCAGCTAAGTATCATTTTCAGAAATGACTTCTTTGCACCAGATGCCAGAATTATGATGGCATATCATCTTCACTGATTTCATTGAAATACATTTTAGGATTTTTGCCACAGTGTTTGGCCCAGGTATATATAAAAAGGCTGATTTAACTTTAGCAGGAACATGTTACATATATACAAAGCCATCGTTCCAGCTTTAGTGACATGGAGAAACCCAAAACAGTGCTGAAGTAATTACACGCAAATTTTGTGCTTGAATCGAATCATTACAACTTTTGTCTAAACAATCCTATCTGTGGCAGTATTTAAAATTATTATTTACTACTACATGCACTGATCAGTCTCAGATTTTTTGCACAATATAGAGTCAAAATTATGTTCTCTGTAGTAGCTGAAAGCCAGAAAAAGATATTTGTTACCGTGACATGTACTTAATACTGTACAAGCTGGCAGAAACTTCAGTGAAATTTCAAAAAGCAGCTCTAAGACAGCATACGACTCAAGACAACACTCTCACTGCAACATGTAGTTTACTTCTCTGAACATCTTTTTTAATACTTACTTTTACAATTGTCGTAAGTGTCATACAGAATACATTAAAAAAAAAAATGTACAAGCATGTGTGTGGCTGATATGCATATGCAAATGCTAGTTGCATGAAAACTCACAGAACCAAGCACAAATGACAGCTCTGAGCTGGTATCCACAAATAACTTCACTTGTACGAGCCATTCCATTCCATTTGACCCTGACATAATGGTTTATAAACTGCTATTTTATATATGGGCAACAGCTCATATGTTTTTCCTCAATGTTTGGACCTATTTTGATTCAGATAAATCAACATTCCAGAAATTTATAAACAAAAGCTTCCATTCCATTCCCATCTGTCCTTTCCAGCCTGCTTCAAAACCACCAAATTATTCATATACAAAAAAGGAAGACTAGTTAAACCAAATTAAAGATTTGATTATAAAAACCAGATTTTGGTATGTGCTTGAGTGCAAAAAACCCTGTACATTTATTAAACAATTGTGTAAATCAAAAACAGTAAATGGCTTGCTTAAAGTGCTCTACAGCTAAGACTTTATAGACCAAGTTTATCCCTAAATGAATACCCCAAAAATCCCCAAAAGCTTACAGTGCTAACACTAACAACCTTATGGACCAAGGTGCTAGTAGGCATTGTTATACTACATCACTCCCTAATTATTAAGAGAGTCAGACTCCAATCTCACTTACAGTTAATGCAAATTTACACTGATGCAACTGAGAGCAGATCCATCTCCTGGTGTATACCATCCTCAAATGATATAAAGAAGTCACAAAAACAGAAGCTCCCTTTTGTATAAATATGTCATAAATAAAATATGTATAGATACAAATATTCATTACAACAGCAGCTTAATGGTCTAATATTTCAGCTCTTGCTTCTATAGTACTTGCTAAAAACACATCTTAAGTGAGTAGAGTAAATCTTAACAGTGCTGCATTAGCTACTTGTGATGCTATACACCCCAGAAACAATTTATGCACATTTTGAAGCCATTAGTAGATATTTAGAAGTGAAAGTAGGTAGAAATTTTTGATGCAAAAAAGAATAAATAAATAAAAATTATTAAATATCCAATGTCTGGTACAAATGCTTCATATTAAGTTATTTTTATACATTTGTTTAGAAAAATACACTAAATATTTCTACTTTCATTGGCTAAAAATAAGGACCGGATTATGTATATCCTTATGTTCTTAAAGAAGGCAATGTCAATTACCATCAAGCTGATAGAGTAGACCCATTAGTACCCATTCCCACACCCCTTACACAGGCAAAAGAGCCATTGCAGGGCTAATCACAGCTCCTGGTGGATGACCTGGTACAAATGACCAAGAGGCCCATGGCACAAGTTGCATTTCCTCAAAAAAAAAAAAAAATAATGAAACCTTTTTGCTGAAGTTTATAACCTGCAGGTTTACTAATGTATCGATCAGACCTTCACACTTTTTAAAAAGAGCTACATATACAAATGCGAACGCTTATCTGTTAAGCCATCATTTGTTCCAAAAAATGCACATTCAAACTGTGAAATATTAGGAAAATACTCTTGCAAATAAACTATACAAAGATAAAATACACTTCAAAGATAGTTTTTATGTTATTCTATAAAGTGCAGAGAAATCCTTCTAAAAAGGGAAATGACTACTTCCTATAACAACAGTGTAATTACAGCAGCCTTTGCATAGCATTATTTATAGAAAATTGAATAATTTCAGTTTCTTCAAGAAGAAAAGGATGAAAGAGTCTCTTCCAGTTCAGATCTTTCCTTTGATACTGATTTATTTTCTTCAGGAATGGTTGATGATACCAGATCTCCATTGACAGCACTTCTAGAACAGTGAGCAGATCCTATGAAGATATAAGTATTTAATTTTCAAGTACAAAAAAAATCTCATCCAATCTATCAGTTATTCTATTTGCTAACTATTTCCTATACATAAGCAATCAATAGCATAATTACTCTGGACTTTTCCTGAACAATTTCAATCAGTATCATGCCCAAGGATGATGGATATGAAGAATGTTCAGATAGTGTAAATCAAGTAATTTTTTTTTTCCTTTTTGGTTTTTTTTGGGGGGGCTTTTTCTTTTGGTGGGTTTTTTGTTTCTGTTTGGGGGTGGGTGGGGGGTGTTTTGCATTTTTTTGGTTGGTTTTTGTTGGTTTTTTTCCCCCCCCACAATTTTTACATTATGAAGGACAGTAATCTGCGAGGTGCAGACATATTCTGTATGAGGAACACATGAACCTTTTTTTGTTTTTAAAGAACTGATGCATCAATAAGCATTTAATTAAAACATTTTCTATTATTAAAATGAAACGGATGACTCACTTGAGTCATCCAAGTTGAGTATTGCTAGGCTACCTGACAGGAAAGAGAAAGAACTAAGATAACTGGAAGGTAGAGGGAGCTTCTAACACAGTAAAAGAAAACAAAAAAACAGAGAAACCGAGCTAGAAACTAGAGCTACATAGGAAGAAACCAAAAAAGCCTGGTATTAGCAGAAACACACAAGACAAAGACTCTTCCCAGCAGTCCTGAAAAGAGTCAGATTGGGTAACCAACACCAGAAGGTCCAGATGGTAACAACAAAAGACTTGTGTTACAAGAAACTAGACTGATATGCACCCGCATTAGCGATGAGACACAGAATAGGATCTAAGTTTATTAACTTGGGATACATGCTGGCATACCCTGTGCTGGTAGCAGATGAGTGAGGTGAAAGAGGTGGTCACCCTGCAACATGTGAGCATCAGAGAACCAAGGAAATGGTGCAGAGATGCAAATACTTGCTTCATGATAGAATGTAAAGCATTAGTACCTCTTTGTGCTCACGTGGGCTTTCAGCAAGGCATAGGCCTCAGGTTTTTTCAATCCAAGTGAGGCACCAGGCACTCCAAAAGGAAGCAAGACTAAACCAGAACTAGTCAAGAAGAACTAGTCAAGTTAAAGTTTCCCTGAGAGGAGTTAGGATGGAGTCAAAATGACAGCAAGATTCAAAAGGAAGAGTCACAGAAGAACTGGCTAATAACTCAGTAGGCCCATCTGATCAAGAGGGAATAATATTCTGATCATGACATCGCTTCATAATTTTTGGGTTGCTTTTATTTATTATTGGCAAGGCTGCACTCTTTCAGAACAGTGCCGTTCTCTGCAAAAGGCAAGCAGCCACCGAAATGAACAATCTTTCCACAATGCACTGGGTGGAAATGACCCCCCAGCCACTCACAGGGGTCACAGAAAGGAGAATTTGTTTTGTGACAACAAGCAGGTGGCAAACAACAGTATTTCACACCACTTACCAGAACATCATTTATGTAAGATTCTATTAGTACAAACAACCCTTTTCTGGTTATGTCTCTATTTTATCTTGCCAGTTGTCTCACTGATTTCAATACACTACTCCAGCTAGAAGATCCTTTTCAAGATGAATGAAAGCCAGCAAAAGTCAGCCACATAACAAACTACATAGGTGCTTTGATTTATAATATCAGAATCTTACAACCAAAACTTTGCGTAACTAAGAAAACTTTTTTCCTTGTGCTGATATCAGCACTAGAACAGCTGCTGTAAACAGGGTAATAAATTGTACAGAAATATACAAAAGAAAACCATCCCTCTTCCAAACTTACTCTGAGAATCTTCAAAGGGATTATCACTATAAGATTCTGTATCCGAGTATGTTCTTCTGCGCCGCTGTGAAAATCGGTGAAGGGATGAAATTGGCTCTTTTACAGAGTGATTATTCCTACAAAAGAAATGAGATCTATTAGTAAGCAAAATCTGTAACAAGCCACACAAACTTAATATACTTTTAATTTAAAATAATTTTGGTGCTTAGATTAAACTGTTAGTATCAGTGTTTTTCACTACACTAAACTAAAAATGGCACAGTCAACAGAACATTCTTAATTTTCAAAATTATAAAGCCCGAAAATGGAAATAAAAATGTAATATAATCTTTGCATGCAGAAGAAAATAATGCAAGAACCTGAAATACTGACCAAAAAAGAACGTTAGCGTTTCAAGCTCTGTGTCCAATTTCATGAACTTGTCAGAATAAGTCACTTGCATAAAGTTTCTAGCATGAAGAAATGTTTATAGTGTATTAAGAGACAGCAGCTGCATTATTTGCTGCCAACACTGATAATCTGCACCCTTAGTTTTCAAAATTAGATCAATTTATGTCGTTCAATTTTTTTCCCCCCAAGTAGACAATTCTTCTCACATTTTGATTTTAATGCTAGCAGGTTCGGGGAGGTTTTCTGAGACATAAGAAAAAAGCTTAATGAAATAGAAAATTACCTTTCTGAATAGCAAGGACCAGGGTGGCTAATGGAACGCTTCATCTAGGGGGAAAAGAAACAAACAAAAAAAACAAACAACAAACCACACCAAAAATGTCACAAGCTACTTATAAGAATAGTATGCACACCTACATTAATTTTTACTTTATTTACAGTCTCTACAAAGAGGGAGGGCAATTTTTTTTTTTAAAGCAACGATTCTTAATTAAAAATCTGATTTAACTATATGAAAACAGATGGATTGCCATCAATATTAAAAATTTTAAAGTGTTCACACAGGAAATAGTTTACTACAAAAAATACTACCTAGTTTCTATGGAATTCATTCTCTCTTGCTCCAAAGTTAATCATAGAGCCATTTGTTAATTGCTATGATGGACAGAAATATCAAGACATTTTTCCTCTACCAAATGCCCACTTAAATTCCCCATTACACAATAAAGCCAAACCCTGCCTCTTGATTCCTTGTGGTTCTTCTGATATCACTGCCAAATCTCTATGCATATCAAAGGAAGTTATTAATTTAAATCAATAATGATCAGCTTTGTAAGTAAACTGATTGAAGATAAAGAGACAAGAGATCCAAGTGCAAAGAATGGGATTCCCACAACAAAATCCCACAATACAGCTCATCCTGGAATCTATACATATGATCAAGAAGACATTTAAGATGATTCCACATACACTGTCCTTCTAAGGGAAATAATCAGTAGTGAAGAGTTATGCAAGTAATATCTTTACCATTATTTACCTTTTTGTTAAATAAGGGCATGTTAGATTAATACAAACATTTTCAATTATATACACTGAAAGATATGCTATCTTGCTGAAGTGCTTCAAGCCACTTATCTGTTTAAACAGGAGGCAAGGTTCTGAAATTTAAGATCAGTGTACAGCTAGCATTCTAAAAAACAAAGAAACAGCTGAACTGAGGAAAAGTTAAACCTCATTCATTCACAGATACCTCATCACAGGGTCTTCACATGTATGATAAATTACTTTGATTGTGTAAAGGCCAGCAAACAAAGACTGGGAATGGAAAATTATTCATTTATATTTAGGACCAGTACTGATCATAACAGAGTCAAGTCAACTGTTGACATCATAGCACATAGCACTTGCATAGTCTTCTGCCATTCTTCCCCCCATCCAACCAACAACACGACACTTAGAAAAAATAGTATTTCAAAATGTCTAAACCATTTGGACAGGTGATGGCGACACAGGAGAAACTAAGGGATCAGGGTGAGGCAGCTGGAACATTTCTGGCTTAAACTTGGCATTAGCGATCTTCACACATTCTTCAAGTGTTGTGATAAATGTATTACATGTTGCACTAAGCAAGGAAGAAGCTTCATTCATGTTCTGAAAATAAATGAAAACCCAAGCATAAGCAAGAAAAAAAAAATATGAAAAGATGCAAGTACAACTCTCCCCCACCACCACTCACACACACACACAAATTTCCCTCCTTACCATTACGAACTTCCATTTCCCATTTTATTTAATCAAATGTACACCTTCCAATGAGGTTTATTTAAGCAAACAAACGTGACAGCATTGTAATTTCTTTCTGACATCTGAATTTCTTTAGGGTATCAGCCAACAATGCCATAACGTTTTTACTGCAAAGCTTGTCTCAGAGTGACTAACTAGTATCAGAAGATCATTCAGTGAAACAAATGAATTGCAGCAGAACATGCAAACAGCTTTATCGCTCCAGTGCAAAGAGCCTGCAGGTCAGTTTCACCTTGCTGTCAACTGACAACAATTTGCTGTGTTGTGACTAAGCCTCAACGCCTTACTTTGCCCTAAATGGAGAACAATGCTGTCCACACACTGCTCAAGAGTGTAAAGAATGAAGCCATTCATAATTTCCACTACTAAGTTTCATTCAAAAGCAGAAATACTAGAATAATTTTACTTGTGCATATTCAGAGAGACTTACCTACACTGCAGGTTTCCAATACCTGTAACATTAGCTTTCACTGATAACAAAATGAAATACCTTCATACACAAGGAAGTAACGAATGGACAAACAAGATTGTTTCAACTACTCTGCCCATAACAGATGCAAAACAAGACAAATTATTGGATAACTCATATGGCAGCTCTTCTGGCCTTTTAACCAAATGACTCGATAACACAATTCCTTCCTAATGCATGTTACAATTACAGTTAAATCATCCAGGTACTTTATGCACATATAATCACTGTTAGTATTACATACACACAAGCACTCAAAAATTGACCTTAGGTTAAATCTCCCAACAACAGAAACTTGAGGTGTATTATATAATTAGGTTCTCCAGTGGTATTCTAGAAATTCTGTACCTCAATGCTGGGAGGAGAGCGAGTCTCATCATGGTGAACAAATTCTTGTATTGTATGAACTTGCTGCATTAAAAGATCACAGTAGAGACGAAGTTCAGACATTTTGGTTTTAAGAGATTCATTGGTCTCACTTATTTCTACAAAAAATAAAGGAAATATCAATTTATTGCATACAATGTATGTACACACTTTAATTTTTAAGCACTCTTCATTTAAATTTAAATATTAATTTAAAACTTCACTTAAACTTTCAATTAAGTTTGAGGAAAACTGGATTCTGCAATGAGTCAAGAACTTTACTCGAAGCAGACAATAGTTTGTATGTTTGGATAACTGATGCTAATTTAATTATCATTAAGAAAGAGGCACATTACTAGGACAGATAAGTTGAAGTCTTTCTTAACTGCAATGTAAGACAGAAAAAAAAATTAGTGGATGAAATTTACGCCCACCAGAATGGCTGGAAATGGTTACATTAAGTAATCCAAGAAAAATTATGGAAAAAATAGTAACTATAAAAAACCAAAACAGTGGAAGTTAAATGGCTTCACAAGAGCTACAAACAGTATGTTTGTTCTTGTCTTGTAATGACAAGAAGTTGCTAGTATTTCAGCTTCTTAAGATAGAAGAGGTCAATGGAGGTGACCTCTAATTGAAACATCAAGGAGGAATTTACCATCTAGATGACTAGAAATAATTACGATTTATAAACAATAATACTGACTTTCTACCACAATATTTGCACTATCATTATCTGAAAACAAGCATTTGAAAAAGTGGTAAGATTGTATAAGCTCTAGGTAACACACATACCTTTTTCTTTTTTAGTTCTGGTATCTGCTAAACAGGCTTTTGCACTCCCTAGTGCTACAAGCCACCTTTGCCTTTCGGCTGCATTAACTGCTTTCATATAGAAATGCTGTTCCCCTGGGATGATTAGCTCCATTCTTGTGTTGTCTGTTGTATGAACTTATGATAGAGGAGAAAAAAAACAATTTGGAAAGAAAAAGACAACCTCAACTCAATAAGAATTATTTATTAAATACTGATCAAAGAACTTTAAAATGTTTATTACAATCCCATAGTAATACAGTAAGTCACAATATACCACTGCTAAATAACAAAAAGCCCAAAGCTGCTCAACCCTTCTCCCCGGCATGCCTTCAAGTCAACAGGTAGGAACATGAGACACCGACCAGTGGCCAGACTCAAGTACAATGGCGTTCCCTTTCTGCATTAAGAATATGCTGTGTATGAACCTATAATAACTGTTGTATTCCAAACCTGGTCTAACATGACAAACTGAGGAGTTTCGTTGCAAGGACAAGTACTTACGGAGGAATAGGCTAAAAACTGAAATAATCTCCCTTCTAGACGAAATCTGGCTTCAGGTCGCAGAGTCCTAGAACCAAGAACTGAGGTGGACTTTGTTTACGATCTATTATATTCAATACTACATCTTTAACTGATTAGTCTGCTGAGTTTCATGTTATCAACCACAGTTCCTCCAGACCCACTCCCTACTAGCCACGGATGCAGGAGACTGCACCAAATCTAGACCTCAACCATTACCTTTCCTTCACCAAAAGAACAAGATGACAAGCAAAATGAACAATTAGAATGGCCAAAAAATGGAATCTTCCACTTTACATCACTGATTTCATCTACAGCAAGGAAACAGTAACAAAAGGAGTTACCACATGAAAAATACGTGGTGGCCCATGTAAAATAAGAAGTCCCCCTTTTTAATATACAAGTACCCACATCACAAGCCCACTCATCTGCAGGTATCTGGAAAGAGGTCAAGAGTTGAAAGTAATGGAGAGTTAGACAATGCCTTGCTATTAGCCAAGGAGGTTGACCTACTGCTTAGAATACACTAAAGGCTAAACTCACAGTCTGACACAAACAGTTCACTTACTAACTCTAATACATCCATCGCCTATGCACGTGGGCAGCTGCTAACAGTAACTAAAGTAAAAATGACTCAGGAAAACAAAAGACTAAATATCTCTGGTTTATAAGAATCTCCCCTTCCGGGTCACTGCTGCCACTCTTCTGAAAAATTAATATTTATGGATCAGTCTCTTACCCCTGGTCATAAGAGGGATAAGCAGTAGAACTAAATAACTAGCCGAGGTAACTCCAAGCGTAAGCCACATTCACACAACTATTTAAAACAAAAAGGAATACGTGGTGGGTTCTAAATCTCAAAATGGAGCTCTAACTGTCAAAAACATTTTTCTTTGTCACCGTTTCATAATTCACATTCATTACTATTTGTGAACTATGAAGCAGTCATATTGGACTACAGATAAACAAAAAAAGAGGAGGAAAAACTTGTGATGCAAAATGTGTGTTGGGTGATCTTTTCTATTTCCCTAGCAGCTAAAATTTCCCCAAGCAGAACTATTAACTCTTACCTTTTATTTCACACATAGCCATCTTTATACTTCCTTTGCTGCCTTTGCAAACATCATCCTGTGAATCATAGTATGACAATATCCCATTGTCTAAAACAAACCACCGAGGCTGCCAACCTAGCGAGATCAAAAACATGAAAAAGAAAGTTTAGTCTAATTACTAAATTGCAAATCAAATTCAGCTCTTTGGCTGTTAAAACTTTTCTAAAAAATGCAAACATTAAACTATTCATGTAACACACCAGGAAGTAAATAATCTGTGCAGTCTGAAGACCAAAGCTGCTCTATAACCAAACCAGTATTATATGGATATTTCACTCTCATTCTTTTTGGATGCAAGATCAGCAGTATTTCAGTTTTCATTATATTCCATCCTAGAGCAAAATTAAATTTTAATTTAGCCACCAAGGAATCCTGTTTTGAAGGTTGATAAATTACATACCTCTGAAGAACCATTCTCATTCAAGTACACTTTTCAGTTAGACTTTCCTAAGATCGTAGGATCTTACTTGTAAGACACAAATAAATTGACTAATGTCACAAACTGCTATGCTATGGTCTCCTCTGCCTACTGTACTTCAGTGAAAAATTCTGTATTTCACACAATTATTGACACACCATTTTCTCTGAAAGTAGCCCAGCTCCATCACCCAACAACAATTTAATGTCAGGCATTGGGTGGGGAACTGAGACATGGCTTATACTCCTAGGTCCATTTGTGAGGACAGCATACACCAGCACCTCTACTAAGGTTTTCACCACCTTTGCATTAGCAAAATTATATAATGATCTCTGACATCACTACATCTACAAAACAGAGCAGTTTATGCATAGACACAAATATCTGTGAGAACTCCATGCAGCATTACACCACATAGTAAATTATTGTCACAGGCCCTCTTGGATTAAAGTATATTAGCATTCCTTTTTTTTTTTCCCCTTTTTCTTTTTTTAACAGCTATTTCATATAACTGAACACTCATTGGAATAGGTGCCCTAATTTCTAATAATACTAAATGCAAACCATTTACCCTAGTAAATCACCTTTGTTTCTAAAAATAAGATAGAACTAAAATATTCCATAGAGCATAACAATTACATTGGCCCATTACAGTCTGGATCAGCTGTACAATAGGAGCATATTATCCCTCTATTTTACAACTTGACACCAAACTTTAACTTCCTGCTTGGCTTAGGATTTGGAACAGCAATAACTGTGTGGCCAAGAACTTAACGTATTTGGCGATGTGACGGTGTGGTCCATGGCGCTTACCAATTGCCATTCCAACAGAGCAAGCTGCAGCCACCCAGCAGCAGTGTACTGTAACACAGGAGGCTTAATCAGGTACCAGACTCTTGAAAATCAGCTAAAGGCTTCATACGACTTACACTAAGTCACTACAAGTCTTAACACTAAGTCAAGAAGCATAAGACCAGGCCCCATTACATCATGTCACAATTCCATGATAAGCAAATAATAACATGTAACAATTTCTTTTAATTTATTAGCTATAATGGCAAGCATCTGTGTCTTTCAAAATGCAGAGTGGTAACTAATAAGCAGATCCACACTCAGATATAAAAACAGAATGAAAAAAAAGTACAAACATTGAGGGATACCAACTCCCACAGGAAATATTTCAAATTGTATGTGTACATCACCACTTATACTCAAAGAATATGCAGACAGACATGAAATTACTCTAGTAAAGACCCTGTCCTGTAAAATGCAGCTCAGAAACGCACCAGTGTTTTTTTTCCTGCTACACTGTGTTGCAAAACATTGACTCTGTGTTGCCCTTATCTCCTAAGTGCATGCATAGGTGGTAAGTCAATGCCTGTCTCAACAGTCCGATTCTGATAAAAAGGGACCCTACACGGATGATTATTCCAGCCTCACATTATGCTGGTACTGGACAAAACAGAAGCAAAGGATTTGAAAGACTCCAAGTGCCTCACAGAAGCAAGCTAAAGAACAAAAACACCTCTTCTGATTTGAAATTGGGCAAACAGAGTATCCTATGTTTGACAAAAATATTTAACAGGTTTGTACTTCACAAATTCTTAGATGCACACATATTATTTGAGGGGAGAAAAAATAAAGCTGTATTTCTAGTTTGCTTTTAATGAAGGAGGAAACTAAATATTTTCCACAATGCTTCAGCAACAATAACAAGCTCCTTTGCTGCTTGGCTTCTACCATTAATGACAACAAGTACTACAGCCTATTTCTGGCTACAAAAATAGACAGTAGAGTAACAAGAAGGTTGGTACTAACATTTAAAAACTTCACTAATATGATTAGATTTTTTTTTTTTTAATTTGCTGCCCTCCTATATTCTGGCAATTGTAGGGAATTCCTGACACACTGTAATTTTGAAATGCAAGAGGAGCAGATGCTCTCAGTTGGCCAGCACCCACGGAAGGAACGGTTCTGCAGTTTGCTATTTTAGAGAGCTACTGACTTTTAGCAGAAGTTAGCTGCATGCTGATATAAGAGTCTACTGTGTGTACAGCATTCACAGTTATTGTTGAATATTTACTTATTAAATAACAGACTTCAAATGGGAAGTTTATATCAAACACCACAAGGGCTCATTAGCTGTGACCTTTTACCTTTTGCTACAGTAACATTTTTGTTCACATAAGTGAAAGTGACAATTTCCATTCTATTTCGAAAAGAAACTTGTACTCATTATTTCTTTCATAACCACAATTTTTCCTACATGTGTTTTCTCCACATATATTGTGAAGAAGTGACAAAAATATCTTAGCAAATATCTATTTCATTGCAGTACAAGTGTTCTCTTTCACCACAAGGCCAGTATACGTGGACATATATTTACTCCGAAAAATGCAAGATTATACCCTATACAGTTCAATTCGCAGCAAGCGCGCACTATTCTTGCAATGTGGCCCATGTAAAACAGAATTGAGTTTCACCCCGCTCCACATTCAGAATCTGAATGTGCTGAAGCAGAACAGCACACGTGCAGTGCCAAAGAAGATATTGCCAAAGCAGTCAAACACGAAGCTTGATTAAGCACAGTATATGATCCAACACCAATCCGCTCTGGAGGGACAACTAGTCCTCTTACAGCGTCAGAAGAGACATCTGTTTCACCTTGACAGTACCGTCTACCCATTGCTATCTCCAGAGGAAGGTGGTATCGCTACTACAACAGAGTATGAGGCAAACAAACCAGAGCTGTGATGGCAAACGCAGGCATTTGGTGAACTTTTGTCTGCAGCACTTCCAAAAACACACGTTGTGAATACTTCACCCAGAACTAAAGCTTTTTATCTGTTTTACAGGTTAGGATACAGGAGCACAGATTCAAGAAAATTACCATCCAAAAGCAAATTAAAAGAGAATTCAGACTTTCACATTTAGCACTGAAGATTTAAAGACGTAATCTTAATGATTCCTCAGCTGCAAGCGAGGATACACTGCAAGTTTGTATGCAGCAAATTAAAGCTATTGCTGAGACGAAAGAGGGGAACACCCCGTAGCCGGGCCGTCAGACGGCGTTTCCCTGCAGCTTGTGCTGTTACGAGTCCCTGAGTAACTCGGCCAGGCGCGGCCCAGATCTCGAGAGGCACCTGGCCTCCCAGTCCCCCGTGGAAGACCGGGGGGCCGGGCACATCTTGGCTGTGAGGCTGCCGGGGCCGCAGGGCCGGGAGCGGGGCGCCGAGGGGCTCGGCCGGCGGAGCGGCCT